ATACAAAAATTGTTAATAAAGTGAATGAAATTTCCAAAAATTGCAAATGTTAAGCTAATTTTCATGTTTTTATCCTCAATAACCTTTCTTGTATGAGCTAGTGAAGTAAACATTTATTAAATTTAATATTTTGAAGGAGGATACATGGATATAGGATGACGATAAATAATGAAAGATAGGAACTTAATGTTGATATATGATAATCTAATATAATAGGCGAATTGAAAAAATAAATGAGCTAGGATGATCTGAGCCATTTATTGTGTTCGATTTTCTGTCTAGTAAATAAGCTTGTAGAAAAAATATATATCACTTATACCACCCTTCAAAACTCTCCTCGACTCAGTTGAAGCCAAATGTATGACCGGTAATAAACGAGACCCGAAATTCTCACTATGTTGGAGCCGGGATCGTCCGCTAATAATAAGTGTTTTACATGTAATGTGAGTTTAAATGAGGGTTAAATAGCGTTGGTAAAAGAAAAGAGAGTTAAAACCCTACTAGTGTCTAGTGCTGCATAGAAAAATAGGTATAATTAATGTTTATTGAAGCGTTTGACTGATACTTATGTACATACAGCATGCCAAAAGCGTTACAACAATTCTAAATTAATCAATGTAGCTGTTAAACATAGAGGAATAAATGCGGCAAGTACAGCAAGGGCTTCCACAGTGAAATTTAATTTCAGAAAGCAGCGTTACATATATGGAAAAGTCGTAACAAAATAGTTCATTGAAGCACAGAAGGAAAACCACTAGAAAAAAAGAAATTCTGTTATCACTGTTGAGAAGAACTTGAACTTATATACTAACGCTAGTTGATCGAAAAATGGCGAATGGCCCATCATAATAAAGGAACGAATTTTAGAGATGGGGGAGATTTTCTGTATATATCTTAATTAATTAGTACTTCATCTAAAATACTTTTGTAACGATAATTAAATTTTAGTATCATTGAGTGAGGAAAAGGTTATAGATAAATGATAGTACGGTTGAAGAGGAAGTGTTTAGATCAATTCATCATTGTGAGGTACATTTTAAGTATAAATCGGACATGAAAACAAATAAAATAAGAAAAAATTATGAAGGATTCACGACATTTAAGAATGTTGATGGTGATTGTAGGAATTGCATAATGATGTTATCTTGCTTCACATTCTGGTGTTTGACTAAATTCGATAGCAGACAAAATTGCAATGCAGGCATTCCAATAAAATTGTTAAAATGTTTTGCATCCTCAAACTAAACTACATTTTCATTTGCAAGCGGAAAACAGATTGAAAGTTATCTCAAGATTTTATGGTGGACATGGTAAGTGGACATGGCATAATCATAGCTTGGCTACCAAGCTTTAAAAAAACTTAATGATAAAAATCACCAATGGAACACGTGCTAATGTTGGTATATGTATCTGATTTAGAAATAAAAAAAGGTCATTTGTGATATTGATAGTTAGATTTTTTTTCTTTGTTCAATATTTTCCCTAACCTAATTTTATTGATTACTTTCTCATTGTTGCTATCTCATAGATCAAACATCTGGTGCGGTGCGCGCATCTCACAACTTTCACTTACCACCCTCTTCTTAACAGAAATAAGTATTTTCAGACAAAGGAGAAGTGAAAGTAAAAATTATAAAATCTATATTGCTTTTTATTTCATTGCGGGTATTTTTATTTGTATAAGTACTCTTATATATATATAATTTTAATATATATATATAGTTGTAAAATATACAATTAAATATAAAATAATACCAACGGAAGCATTTATGAAAACCGCATATGTATATGTACATAATATTGTCGGAATCCATATTATAATAAGCTCATATTACGTATGGAAGCCTGTTGTATTCTTTCGGGTGAGCTCGGACGCGATCGTATTCCTCTGATTCTTCCATTACAACTATTATCCGTTACGATTTCCTATAACTCCTTTAGTTAATTAACAAATTCTTTCATATTTTAAGACCTCCACCTTGACAAACGACTCACTTGGAATCCCCATACCAGATTGAAACGACTAGAAACCGCTCGACGTTTCCGACTACTCCAGCACTTACTAGACAAACGCTCTAAACTGCCAACTATTTACAAAAGACTCATATATATATTACTATAATAAATAAACTTCTGAACCATCCGAACCCTCTCGTTTCCAACCTTGCTTTCTCTTCTATTCCTGATAACCCTCCGAGGCGTCTGAAAAAAAGATGGCCTCGGGACCTTCTAATATAGAAATATAATTGGAGTGCTACCAATGGGTAGTTTCTCTTCATGTTGTACATGTCATATTACCTGTTCATATTTACTTGTTGTATTTATTATTAATTACAGTTGTAAATTTCGTTAATAAAAAAAACAAACTATTTCTTGTATCAAAGATCAATGTGAAATGGTTAATTATTTCAAATAAAAAAAAACTAAAGGTACTTTAGAAGAAGCTAATATTGAAAATCAGCCATTTAAGCCCTGCTAGAAAACATAAATCAGAATAAAACCTACATTTTATTTAAAACTGCTTAATTTTACACGGATATGATGAATTTAATCAAAATCGTTAGAGCCGTTTTCGAGAAAATCGTAAAAATGTGTTTAGTCCACGATATAAAGTGCCACTTCCGGTTATCCTATTTTGACGAAAAAGTTGCTGTAACATCCCAAGCGTATAAAAACCTTAAATATGCAATTTCACTTTCATACGACTTTTCGTTTTCGACTTCAAAACATGTGTTTCCGTTGAAAACTGAGATTCGTTAAATTTTCACGATCGCAACACTTCCCCATACTATATATTTCATATATAAGTCTGTGAAAGTAAATACTCCAAATTTTATCATCTAAAAAATTATAGATAAATATTACAATCATCATACATAACTATTATGTTATAAACTATTAATTTTTGAACGATTCTATAGTTTGTTTTCTTCCTGTCTCTCATCTGCTAGTGTGTTATAAAATTGATTGTGCACATTCGACCTTATGACCTGTGCCATTTGACCTCTGACCTATAACTCTAATTTTCTATGTCATGAAATAAAAGTGATTTGACCTGTGAAAATGTCCAAAAAAGAAACTGGAATTTTTATTAAAACAAAGAAAGAAAGATAAAAATATGTTTTATTTTATTTTTTAAATATTGAAGCTCTAACGCTTTATTTATATATATTTAAAAATCAGTTTCATTGTTCTCAGGACTTCAAACTTTGACATTATTAAAACTTTAAGTAAGAAATTAATTATAAAATAAATTTAAAATAAATAAATTATTATAAATAATAATAAACAAGGTTCAGTTCTTACCTAAACTATATGTTTTAAGATGCCCAGAATTCGTTAATATTGTAAATTTGGTTCTGTCGTTAGATAACTTAAGTGAATTAAAAATGTTTACAAATGATTCTTGTACAGATAATATACTTTTCGTATGTAGACAAAGGCGAATCTACGGGGAGGAGGTTTCGGACTGAAACCCCCCTCTCCTCAAAAATGGTGAAATATAACTATGTCTTGAGAAATAATTATAAAAAAAATATCTCAAAAAGTATCAATGTTCGTGTAATTATATTTAATAGGATTTCAAGAATAACTTTTTTTTTTTTTATTTCTTAATGACATTTACAACTGTATTACATAAATAATCTAGTAAATTTGGACATAATAGATATAATGACATGAATACACTTGCTGAGTAACTACCCAATGGTAGCACTCTAATGACATGACTACATTAGGAGATCACGGGGCCATCTTCTTTTCAGACGCCTCGGAGGGTTATCAAGAATTGAAGAGGAAGCAAGATTAGAAACGAGAGAGTTGGGATGATTCTGAAGTTTATTATGGAAGGATAGGTATCTGGATTGGGCCAGATGTGAAACATAAGGAACATTAAGATCTTTATGGATAATTTTATTAGTGACAAAGTAAGGAGCATGGAGGATTTTGGATTGTAAGGATTGGATGCGAGAGGAAAAGAATAACTTGAACACCATTTCATATAAGTAGTCAGATAGTTTCTTTATTTCTCTCTCTCTCTCTCTCTCTCTCTCTCTCTATATATATATATATATATATATATATATATATAAAAGCTTTTGGCCTGAAGCCTCCCAAAATTAAATCCTGGGGATGCGCTAGTGTAGTTAGATGAACTTAATTAATTCTTGGTGCTGTTTTTGTTGATTTATTTACAAGATTTTTTTTTGTAATTAATTAATTCTAGTAATTCCCTCCATCTCTCTGTCCCTCTTCCTCTCACCATCTCTTACTCCCTTTTTTCCTTGATCTTTGGAAAAACAACATATACTTTTCAACATCGATATATTTCTAGCTCTGATCTGTAAGTAATGTTTTATTATTTGCATTACATACCTTACAACTGTAGTGAAGGAGCACTTACATTTCATTATTTTTATCTATTAGATAGATTTATCTATCTATCCATACCTGTCTAAGGTATGACGATCGAGAATAGTAAGTAAAGTGCAATTTTGTAAAAATTTGGTTAATTCACTAGGGACTAACGTTTTTTCTCTTTAATTGGGTCTAATGGACCACTGGGTAACTCGTGGATGGGAAATATAAAATTGAATTTTAATTTAAAAAAAAAATTGAAATATTTTATAATATTTGCACAACTATAACAATAACAAGGCTTAGCGAACCCGAAGGTTCGATGCCGATACCACCAATCGATGTCCACATTCTTCCATGGGCTCCGTCTAAACCCACAACTATTTGCCCTATTTGCCCAACTATACTATTAATTATTGCACTTCACCCTCTATTCCTAATATAATTTTTGTTTTTCAAGATTTTATTCTTAATAATTTAATACATATCTTATAAATTATTTTTCTGAATTATGTGTTACGAAATGATAATTAAAATAAATAATAAATAACAGCTTAACGATAATTAATAAATAATTAAATAACATAGCTATAATTAAAATAAAGTAATTTAAACTGTAGGATAGTTATAGTTAATATATTTACCTTTATATTGGCACAGGATTGGATGAGAAAAGGTCTGCAGGCCATGATTCCACAGTCCCTGATGTCCTGCGGTAAGATAGCCGCCACTTCTGCGAACGTGGAGTGGCATTTTTCCTTAGTTTCTTGCTTTGCTCGTTCGGAGCTATTAACATAATTAAATTTAAATAATGATTATCTAGGCTACTTCAACAACACCAAGTATAATTAAAATATATTAAGTTTTTAACTAATTGTAATTAGAAGGCAATATAGTGGTAATGTTGAAAATTCGAAATTAAACGTGTTTGTTAAATTTTTATAAAAAATATTGTTAAGTACTCATCTGGTAATATACCTATCAAGAGAATATATTTATTTTTCATAAATTTAAAAAAAAAAAAGCTAAGATGGTATTTTCCCTCAGTTTCATTTGGAAAATAAATTAAAATTTATTTAATCATAGTGATTACATGATTATATTAAAAGGAATTTTAACGTCAATTGAACTGATGTATTTCTGTCTCATGTTTTTGTTTTTGTTTTTGAACAATTTATAATTTAATTTTATAATTTAAGTCAGAACTGAATCCATGGTTGGTAGTAGTACAATATTTTTACTGTTGAAAACTTTTTCTTTACAATACGGTTTGCCAAATATCATATGGTTAGTAAAATATTTTGTAATGTTTCGATATGGTCCCTCATTTTAATTATATGAGAAAGGTTAAAAATTGACATAAAATAGTTTTAAATCACAGTGTAAAAATAATGGATATAGTTTAATAAAAAATATAAAAGTATATTTAGATAAATTAATTTTTTTTTTGTTAAGCTATTATATTGAAAAGAAAACTTATCGAAGTGAGTTATAATTGACATTATACCCAAAACAGATATTTTAGAAAACCATGGTAACCGTCACTTGGTGCTGTTATTTTGTAATTTAAAAATGATCAGTTTTTATTTTTGCTTGAAAAACAAATAGACTTCTGAGTCCTTTAGTACCTTAAATCTCAATTCCCTAATAATTATAGGAAATGATATCATTAAGATGACGTATTTGTAGATTAGTATATAATTTACTGCATATGATAAGGTGAAACTGAGATTAATACATGATTAAAACTGGAAAGTTTTAATTAAAAAACAGATTACTTATTGGCAACATAAAAGTGGCTAAAAATAGCCGTTGAGGAGTTATGGAAGAAAATCACGCAAGATGTAGCCAACTTAATTAGAAATATGCCTAGAAGGCTTGAGGCAGTCAGTAAAAAAAAAAAAGAAATAATTTTGGCAACTAAGAGGTTTTAATTTATTTTTTTCCTGTCACAATAATTAAGTTTACCTATCGTAATATACAATTTAACGAAATAATAACAAAATAATAATATAAATGTTTTCTCAAATTCAGAAACGTTTTTCAAAAATTTTCTTTAAAAAATAAAAAAACAATATTATTTTACCTGTCTATGAACCCAGCTGAAGGTGTTCGTGAATGACACTTGATGTGGTGCTCTTGTTGGGCGAGCGGTGCGGGGGTACTTCGTCTGGATAAAAATAAATTACTACTTTTAATATAAATACACACACACACACACACACACATATATATATATTATTACTATTTTAGTTTCTGTTTTATTTTATTTATTTCTATTTTCTGTAAATATGGTGTGAATCCACTCTTTTCTCGCTATAATCATTGTCCATATTGTGGCAGAGTGTTACATTACTAAATAATAAAAAAACTTTATAAATATTTTAATTTAAATATATATCAACTATTTACGCGATTTTAACCTGTTTTCAAAAGTCAAATATAAGGTACTAGACTCCTTGCAAGTTGCAGGTTCCTTATGTGGAAGTTTAAGCACGGCTAAAGCGAAAATTTTATTTTTCACAGAAAGTCCTGGGAACTCCTTGGCTAAAGTACCTATTAAGTTATAAATACCTTTGTTAAGGGAACTTTATTTAAATTTGAATCCAGTGGAGAAGTCAGGAGTACTGCTGCCATCTCTTGCCGGGCTTTAGAAGCAAACAAAGACTGAACATACATGCTGAAGACCTCCTAGATTAATGTCTATTTAAGACTGGAGTATAGCTCGCCAGCAAGAAAACAGTCTTCATAGAAGAGATGGAGTAGAAATTCAAGAGGCTTAGCAAGGAGAGGAGAGGAAACGGAGAGAAGAATGCAGCAAGTACATAATTAACTCATTTACAGCCACCACCCACCTAATCCACAGTTAAAATAGTTGTAATAGTCATACTAAATTCATTAACCCACTAACCATTCATTATAATAGATCCGGCTTTAATAAATCAAATTATAATATAAATATAATAACAAATATAGCAATCTGTTCAACCCAATAGGTTAATTATATATTAATCAAATATCTTATATACAGTCCACTGCATTAAAATAAATGTACCAGATACAAAAGCATAATTATTATGTCAATATCTCTGACAGCCATGGAAGGGATTGGCATAATAAATAAAACAACCTATAAAGTACCTAAGTATATGTATAAGGCAATGTAGTAAAAAAGTTAAAAATAAATAGACTAATCTACATATTTTTTACCAATGTTTCGCAATACTAAACTAAGCATTCTTTATAAATAAATAACTGAGTAATTTATTTGTTAGAATCTCTAACGTTTAATTATTTGTTAGAACATAACATGGCATTTTTATTTTAAATAAAATTACTTTTCAAAACTGCAAAGTATATCTTCTATGTGAAAGTAAAATATTTTTTTATAATATAATGAAACACTCCTTGAAGAAACTTACGATATATCGTCTGCTCATTGCAAAATGTAATGATGTAACATTTTAGAAAATTAATGAAATCACTAACGTGAGTAATATAACTCGTTTCCCACCCTCTCTAGTCAAAATTAATTAGTTTTTGCCTAAATAAATTCACAAAAATATACTTAAAAGTTCAGATATATCAAAAGTGTACTTTTTTTTTTGCAATAAACCGACAACATACGAGTAAATACTAATTAATGGAGATTGTAATCACGTGTCATGGTGTTAAAGTGTTGAGAATCTTAAACATTCGTGGTGAAAAATTTTAAATGTTACAAATTGTGAAAAAAAAACAAAAAAAAAAACAACAACAAAAAAAACAGGCATACTCACTTATCGATAAAACCGCAGGACGGACTTCGAGAGTGGCACTTGACAAGATGTTCTAGAGGTGGCACGCTTCGCCTGTTTCGTCGGAAATAGACAAAACACAAGACGAAATTGAGTGAGGTTCAAATAGACATAGAAACAATGTGCATGAACAAATAGAACAAACAATAAAAACATACGGAATTTGAATTTCTTTCAAGTTGCTTGGCCTTTCTGGGAACATAGTAAATTATTTTTCGAGTAACCAAAGAAGAGTATAAGTTAAGTTATCGTTTCAACCGAATATAGAGGAATAAATTGTTGGTCATAAAATCATAAAATGTGTTTAGCCAGAGCTGAATTAAATGTTTTTATTGCTGACAGGACTTAGTCACAAGCTTATCTATTTCGATTAAACTATCCGTCTTCAGTCTAACAGTCTTCTGTTACGTTTAACAAGAAAGGCTAAGCACATGAAGAACTTCATAATTTACTCACAGCACACAAACTTGTTAAATGCTCATCATCTATAACTAAAACAGAACAGAACAGAACTCACCTCTCGATGAAGCCAGACGAGAGGTTCCTAGTATGGCACTTAATGTGGTGTTCGGGGAAAATGGGTGCCTGCCCGTTCCTCCTGAGGAAGAAGAAATCGTGAGGGTTCGTGCGGGTGACATTATTAATTGTAAAGGAACAATACTTACTTATCAAGGCCGGAGGACAGGTTCCTCGAGTGGCACTTCACGGGGTGATCAGCCGTTTGGGAAGGAATGCTTCTTCTAAGTATTGGAAAGAAAACAAAGTACATAAGTTAATATAATACAAATAATCAGAAATAAGTTCAACACACATTTAAGCATAGCCGTAATAACCGTAACGGTATTCGAATTATTTGTACTATTTAAAAAAAAAAAATAAATGAATATAACACAGATCTATAGTACAAAAATGTTTGAATTAAGAAAAAAAAACCTGACTTCAGAAATTGGGGAAATTCTATCCACCTTAAGGGAATGTACTTCCATATCTACTTGAACATCTTGGTGAGGACGGGGTGGTCGAGCATATTGGGGCGTGAGTTACAGAGGACCCGGTTCTGAACATTGTGGGTTCGATTCCCACCAGGGTCGGTTAACTTTCATTTCTTCGCGGCCCGTGGAAATGAATCTTGACATTCCAACTTTGGAAACTACATGTCAGGGATTGGCAAAAAGGACTAGTTCTCCCACCAGTTCCATAACTAGTATCAGTAAACATCTTGGTAGATTGATACGGAAATCTAAATCTACGAATATTTAAACGGTGTAATATTCGGGTGCCTTTTATAGATTTCGTCCCATGTATCGGTGCATGTCAACATCCGAAGGAATCTTGGGTTTTGTTCGGAGTGTGTTAAGGACCCGACTACTCGACCTCAAGTTTAAATATTCCTAATTGTCAGTTTTCCAATCAATCTACCATGGTGTTTAAGCACATATAGAAGTAAATTCCCTTAAGTTTAATAGAATTTTCCAATTTCTGTAGTTGGTTTTTTTCCTAAATTCAAATATTTCTTTTCGTTTAACAATTTTAGTTTGTAAAATTTTAACAATTTATTTAGCATGTGAGCACATGATATCATTTCAAATAAATTAATAATCGAGATAAATAAATTATAATAAAATTTATTTTCACTATTTTCTGCTGAATTCCCTTCAAAACATTCTCACTAAGTAATAACAGCCGTCGAAGTTAAAAATAGGTCAAGCCGTCCGATCAAAGAATCGTTACCTACCTTTTAGTGGATTGATTAGACACAATTATCACGGTAATTTGCCAGAATTTTGGGCTCAGATTCTTTCAAACCTCTCACGTTATCTCACCTAATAATTTAAAATATCAAACTTAAAAATAGCTCCATCCGCTCGCTCAAAAAATCGTTACACACCTTTTAAAAAATTGATTAAACACATTTTATTGAATCATGGGTCAGTATTTTTAGCTGAAATTGTTTTAAAACATTTAGGATATCTCACCGAATAATTTGAGCCATCAGAATTAAAAATCGATCTAGCCGTTCGCTCATAAAAGCGTTACTTAGCTTTTAGCGGATAACTCAAACACATAACTCTTGTGTTATTTCGCTTAGTCGGGTAGTTCGCAGTCATTCTATCACACAATTTTGTTAAAAAGCTAAGATTTTTAAATTGCTTTTATTTACTAGATAAATAAAATGGGATGCCCTTGCAAAATCAAACAAAATTTTCTTAATTCAAAAATTTCAGGACCATTCTACCTTTGAGTTTCTAAAGAATTTGCACCACCTTATGTAGAGTTGAACATCTTTCTTTAAAGATTTTTTAATAAGAGCTTTTCATTAGAAACAACTCTACATCAAGATAGAGGTACACTATTTCAGGTAATGATTCTTCTATTTCATTTTATAAAGCAGTTTTCTGAGTTTCTTGCAACTAATTTCTATTTCAGAATTTACTAATTGAAATTGAAGATATTATTTATTAACTTTATTCAAATTTTTGCCATTGAAATATTACTATTTGCTGTATTATTTTACTAGCTTAGCCTTGTGAATACTACACACAAACCTAATATTTGTATCTGATTTTAATACATTAAGGGCTCAGCACAGCATCCATTCAATAGTGTTTGATATGCAAAGGTTTAATGCATATAATTAGTAAGCTATCAGATTATAAATATTATTAACATTCTACCATGGTTTAACCATTGCGTTTCCTTAAACTTATAATTTAAATGTTGTTTTTTTTTACTTCACTCCATTAAAATAAATTTACGAAAGCTTCTAAACATCCGATGAGGGCAAAAAGCAAAAGGCTCACATTCCCAGTAAGGAATAGTTAGACCAATCACGTGTATGCTAGTTTATCATTAAAAAAAAATTAAGTGAATTTTCAAAATGATAGACTTCAATAATAAAGATCTAAAAGTAAAAGCTAATCTGTTTGAAGCACGTTGACAAAAAGTATTTATTGGAAATCATACATATACATATATACATGTCAGTTAGTGCAGAACTCGGGGAGAGACTGAAAAGAATTATGAATTCCTTCGTAAGATTTGTCACAGGGGCCCTGAGGTATTCTCGTGTTTCGCACCACTATGCTGAATTAGGATGGCTCTTCCCTTCCTTCCGAAGACAATATTTCCTAGGCACATTCCTTTACCAAATAATCAATAGTCATCGTCCGTCCTACGCATACAATCTCCTACAATTCAAATCAACTATCCACACCCTCTCCACAAGATCTCGTCCTTCTGACCTTTACATTCCTTTCCACAGATCTGCATCATTTAAACATTCCTTCGTTGTCCGTTCCACTGCATTCTGGAATTCCATCCCACTAAAAATCCGCCATGCATCATCCTTATCCACCTTTAAAACCCTCTTATTCCAATTCCTCTTCACAATCCAATCAGACGCTGGTTAAATACATACTATGTTATAAGGATTTAATTTTCTTTAGACATTATTTTTTTTCTCTTATTTTTTATTGTTTTATTCTGTGTTGAACGTGAATTTTCATCACCACTCACTAAGCATTGTGAGTAGATAAAATTTGTTTTTCTTAAGTTCTAATTTGTTATTCATGAAATGTATTTCAGTGAAATGTATTTTATTTCTAATTATCTTCAACATACTTCTCGCTATGTGTATATATATATACTTTATTTTATTTTCTCTTCTCCTAATCTTTACGCATAATCACTTAAATATCTTAGGGAACATATGTATATCATTATTTGTTTTTTTATATATTTTTTTGTTTTAGTTTTTACAATTTCTTTCCCTACATATTAACAGTTATTATTATTTTTTTTAAATTTTTATATTCCATCACTACAATGCTTTACCTATAAAATAGATTTTACTTTCCTTTCTAATTTCATTCAGTGATTATTATGCAATTATTTTAGCTCCAATATTGTAGTACTGAACCCCTATTACCCAACTGTCCTCGTTAATTTATCCTAAGAGCTTAATTAATACTTAATGTATTACATGTATTTTGTTATTATTCATTGTAATAAGTCTTCAGACCAGATTTATAGTTAATATATATGAACAATACTGTTATTCTAAAGGGACCTAGTCCCAGAATAAAGATGATTTTTCTATTTCTACATATATAAATAAAAATAATATGTTTAGAAAAAAATTAATCGATACATTCATTATATACTAAGAAAAAAATCTTAAATATCCATATGCAACAGAGTCTTTGCAGCACAACAAATACTAAATGTTCAGACCGCTGTATCTCAGCAAATCGTACGATTTCGATAGTTATTTTTACGGTTTGTAAGAAATTTATTAAGCTTTAAATACTTATTGTGTGTAATGTGTACTTTTCGAAATATTCTCAAATTATGAATTCATTCGTAACGTCTCGATTCGTTGAGATGGCACCATCAAATTACAATTTTCTAAGTGATGTTCCCTTTCTATTGATACCCCATTCGTCAAAATACATCACTCCTGAAAGCCAGAAAAGGGATATATATCCAGAAGTACTATATAAGATATTTTATTCCAAAATTATTAGGAAAAATACATAAAAATGTCATTCATTGTTTTATTTTAAAGAATATTGCACTGAATTTATAGGGACCGTTTTTATTTCACTAGATCGATTCGTTCACGTTGTAGTGGGGTCCTTCAAGGTTGTTTTGTTAGTTATCTGAACTTGCGGAGGGACAAAGGAAACAAACTAACCTAGTTTTGGTCAAATGAGGCCAAGTCGCAATCAACTGCAGTAAAACCAAATAGGCTACACGGGCATTACACGGAGCCTAGATAAATAAAACCGAGCATATACTTCTCAATAAAATTGTGTGGTAAATTTAGCTTCAGTCTATATGTCCACGAGTAACCAACAAAAAGTCACGCGTATGCTAATAACATATTTTAAGTTTTAGCTCAGTGGCTACTGATACACTGATATTTTTTTAAATAGATGATGTTATGTTACCTTTTTAACTAATCATTCATAAAATTATCGTTAATAACTAATAGCTTTTTTGAGTTCAAGTGCGGAACCAGTGAGAGGGAGGCAAAGCAGGCATTTACACTGAGCGGGGAATTTTATTTTAAAGTTAAGTAAAACATGTTTATTTATATATTTTTTAATGCTTCGACTTTCATTTAGTCTTTAAAATGGATTAACGTTATTGATTTTTTTAAATATCATTACCTAAAATATTGTTATAAGATCGTTGGATTTCACTGAAAGAAGGAGGGACAAAATAAGGTTAACATAAATCCTAGTCCTGATTGTGATTTTTTCTCTTACAATCCTATTTGGTAAGATTACGACTATTTAAGTCAAAAAACGCTTCAAAATTTCGTTAACCTCTTGAGCTAGCAAAGCGAGTTGAGATTGAAAATCGTTTGCAATTATGATTGTAATAATATCGTCGATACGATTGGAAACTATCGAATATGAAAAATTTCCATTTGTAATTAAATATTTTAAAACAGTGATTAAAAAATCTGTAAACATTCATAAAATCAGATATTAATGTGGAAATTAAAACATCCTCGTTGTTTAGGCTGAATTGATAATGATATTAAAGTGATGATTTTCAGATTTGATAGTTAGTCATTGTATCGCATATAACATCTGTCTATTTTTTTCATTTATAAAATTCTATTTGACGTCCCGGCTTGTTCGATACATTATTCTACCTACAGAATTACACGTTATAAGATTCATTATGAACCAAGCCGCTTCTCATAGTTTAATGTTTTACGGGAATATGGTTCAACAAGGCGCATGTTGATTATAAGAATTGCTTTATTAATATAATGTGATTTGTAACATAAAGACTGTTTTTGAACTAATATATTGTGGTTTTATGTATGTACATATTAGCCAATACACTAATTCATATATAGGAATGATTAACAGTTAAATACATCTAGTAAATTTGGACATAATAGATATAATGACATGAATACACTTGCTGAGTAACTACCCAATGGTAGCACTCTAATGATATGACTACATTAGGAGATCACGGGGCCATCTTCTTTTCAGACGCCTCGGAGGGTTATCAGGAATTGAAGATGAAGCAAGGTTAGAAACGAGAGGGTTGGGATGATTCTGAAGTTTATTATGGAAGGATAGGTATCTGGATTGGGCCAGATCTGAAACATAAGGAACATTAAGATCTTTATGGATAATTTTATTAGTGACAAAGTAAGGAGCATTGAGGATTTTACGAAGGATTTTGGATTGTAAGGATTGGATGCGAGAGGAATTCGATGGTTTAGTGGAGCCCCATAGCTCAACTCCGTAAGTCCAAATAGGTCTTATTATAGTCAAGTATATGAGTCTTTTGTAATTAATGGGAAGTTTAGAGCGTTTGTCTAGTAAGTGCTGAAGTAATCGGAAACGTCGAGCGGTTTCTTATCGTTTCAGTCTAGTATGAGGATTCCAAGTTAGTCGCTTGTCCAGGTGGAGTCCTAGATATCTAATTTTTTCAACAGGGATAAGTGGAGTATTATTAAAGGAAACTGTAGGACAGGCAGTCGTTGGTTTAAACAGTTTAAACTAAAATATATTTACCTCTCGAACGTTTGGAAAAGAATGTGAAAGTAATGATAAAATTTTCCTTTACTATCTCTTTAAAAAATTATTAATGATGGAAGGTTGTCGACTATTTTATATATCATGGATGACAGTAAGAATGCAGCAATTTTTTTTATTCCTATAATTGCCTATGTTTCAACCGAAACTTGTGGGTTGTCATCAGGGCATGTTTTCAGAACCGAAGGTGTTCAAGTACTGAACATTTCAGTTCGTGGAAAACTTCGTTGCTGGAAACATGCTCTGATGATTCCGCACCAGGTTGGGTTGAAACGATGAGAATAAGAAAACTAACTTATACATATCCAGCTTATATTACGGATATCCAGCTACTCACTTTTGGTCGGCGGAGGCTAGCCTCGACTCCTGGCTGGTCCCGGGCTCCGAGTCCCCCTCGGGCTCGCTGTACAGCCCGGTCATGGCGTACATGCTTTCCTGCCGCCTGTGTCCACCCGCCATCCTAGCTTCTGCCAGTTCTTCCGTTTACAGGGTCATACCTGCAGGAACACCAAAAGATTTGATAAGTTTTTAAGGTTTAAATTTAAATATTTATTATAAGTAACTATGCTGAATTAAAATAATAACAAGAAAAAAAGCGGATAAAACACCTGTTGAAACCACTTCGATGAATATAAGTACTGTTCTAGATTATATTCTTTACCACCCTGTCACTAAATACGAAGATAACGAACATAATACTTATATCACATTGAACAGCTTATTATTGCACCGATCTGATATCACTAAATAGTTATTTGGAATAAATCGTAAATTAATGAATTTATCTTGTTGAGATAAGATAATAATCCAAAGCTTAGAACCATAAAGCTATTGATTTATACCACTTTCATTTTTATTGGCCTTCAATAATCTTTGCTTATGTAGCTCTCTCCTCTTCGTCCAAACGTAAAATTTGTAAAAACCTAACTCAATCCACGTGCCAACGACCCGATTTTGCTTGTCAGTTCAGAAATAATTAATTTTTTAGATACTCTTTCCCTAGGAAGCTTTTTATGCCTATTTCAATCGACTCGATGCTATTAATTATATTATATTTAACGGATGCGTGTATCCCAATTGTTTTTTAGTTTTCCTAATTATATTCTTATTTTACTTAGTTTATAATTTCCGGAAAAAATATAAACTTAATTTTTTTCCAAAACAATTGGCTTTTTCTCTGTATCAAAGAACATCGGAGGGTAGAGATTGTGGTTTATTTCGTATCCATCTTTAGAATCTTTTGAACACGAATAAGGAGTTTTCAGAGATTTTTTCCCCGTCACATGTCGGCACCTCTTTGGTCTAAAAGAGCTAAAATTCTGTCTGTATATAGATCTAATAGAACAGTACATAAGATTTTAGTAAATTTTGACATATCCATATGGATAATCTTTATAATCAAAGAAATAAATGGACTTATTTTCCTAGTCCAAAAAATATTTTTAGAGAAAAGTCTAATTGGATCTCTGCATCACAATTATGAATTATAAAAGAATGTTAAAGGATTATCTTATTTTTAGAGTTCTTCAAGGACTATCGGAATTCTTATGAATTTAAATTAATTTAAATTTAAAGGAATTTCGGGGAGTTTAATTTGTGTCGTCGATGGAATGATATTAGAAAAATATAAGGTTATTATCGATGAGTTCAATTCTATTTGAATCAAACATTGGAAGGCTAACAGTGTTAGTTGTACAGTAAGATTTATGATTCATGAAATTCGCAGAGTTAATATCCGACATTAAACAGTTGTAACGATCAAATCTTTAGTATATAAAATGTTTCGTACTTCGTATATTTCCCAAGGGAACTCGGGAAGGAATTTCGAGGAGAAAGAAATCGACTGGAAACCATCAAGCGGTCCCGTGGGATCTGACGCCTGACAGCAGCCCGGTTGGGAACAAGAGCGCACTTTTCATGAAGCGAATAGTGAAATAAAAAGAAGCGTCTTTTTTTTACATTATTGTCTATTATATCACCTTATGAACATGTACTCCGTGAAATATGGTATCCGTAAAGAATAAAATTTTATTTTACATTATGATTATCGTGGAATTTAATATTTAAATTTCTTGAAGCATGATACTCCAGATGATATCACACAGACACAGCTGGATCCAAGGAGAGAAACTTTCGGGCTGAACCCATTCTCTCCAAAATTGTAAAATATAACCATGTTTTATTGAAGGAAGTTAGTCGACTGTTCTACATATCATGGGTGATAAATATTTAGGACGCAGTCTTTATTTAAAAAAAAATAAAATTTTTATTTATGCCAGCGTTTCAACCCAAACATGTAGGCCATCTTCAGGACTTGGATTGAGCACTGAGAGTGTTCAAGTACTCGAATACTTGAGTACTCTAGTATTGAGTATTTCAACACCCTCAGTGCTCAAACCAGGCCCTGAAGATGACCCACATGTTTGGGTTGAAACGTTGGCATAAATAAAAAAATACTGTGTCCTGAATGTTTATCAACCATGATAACCATGTTTTATGAAGAAAATACTTTTAAAAAGTATTATTGTTCGTCGGATTACTTTTAATTGGATCTCAGGAATCAATAAAACACCATTTCATATAGGTAGTTGGTTTCTTTATTTTTCTTCCAGAGTAATTATCATTTTATATATATATATATATATATATATATATATATATATATAAATAAAATATTTTGGGCTGAAGCCTCCCCCACTAAAATTAAATCCTGGACCCATAAATGCACACAGATGAATTAAAGATTTAATCCAGCTAAGGAGAATTACAAAAGAATAAATTCAATTTTTTTACCGGTCTCAAATTAAAAGAAAATAATTGCCAGCATTTTCTCAATAAACAACTATCTTACATGGAAAACAAGGCTGAAATTACACCGCGCGCGCGTTTAGAATGTTAATAAAAACTTTTAAAACTTGTGCTTGGTGAGGAGATGGCAGGAGCAGATGCAAAAGTAATTTCAACACTGGCCCCGCCTGGAACTGCTATTATTCCCAACTTTCATCAACTTGTCAAAAACATCGAAAAGCGTAGTAGTTATTTAACCACATTTGCGTTAAACATATGAAACACTAGATGTTGGAAATATTAGTTATTCGAACAATTACAAGTTTTTTTGGCTAACAAAATTTATTTGCGCCTCAACTTTTTGTTAATAATCAGCAAATGTGTTGGAAATACAAAATATAAATGACATGTCAGGCATGGAGAAAGAAAGTACTCAGCAGTACCTTCATTTCTTCATTTACAGTAAAAAAATGATTGTTTATTCCTTGAATTATTTCCGATGACGATTTTAAATTAACTCCGACAGTTAGATTACTGATTTTCTCCTGTTGAATTAATTATATACTGCTCTTCACTAAGCATTATTAAATTTGTTTGGAGTTTAAACATTGTTAAAATTACTAATATAATGTTTAAGCGTTCGCTACAGAATATTTTAAACTTTTGAAGATCTTTCATTAAATTAAGAAAGTAGAAGTAGGTAGTATGTTAAATGTTAAATTTTTCTAGAAAAAGTTTTTGTGATCTGCAGCAATTAACATCTTTCAAGGTTTCAGATTTCATATATATATATATAGGAGCTGGGCTAGCCGTGCGGGCTAAGCCGCTTGCTATAGGAAATCAAGTTAAGCAACGGCGAGCGGGGTTAACACTTGGATGGGTGACCGCTCGGTTTGGGTGACCGGTCTACCAGGGAGACCCCCCTCCGGGTTTCTGAGCCCTTCAGTCTACTGGAGGCAACTCATATCGACCGGGCATAGGACTGATGGACCCTGCCCCCGTGTATTTAAATCAGGAATCGGGATGTTTTTTTTTAAATAGGGATATATAGTTTTAAATTGTATTTTATATACCTATGGGTATAACTAGTTATACAATATAACTTTAAAAAAAAAAAACTGATATTTATTCATTTACAGTAAAAAAATGATTGTTTATTCCTTGAATTTTTCGATACGATTTTAAATTAATCGTTAGATTACTGATTTCTCCTGGTTGAATTAATTATATACTGCTTCATAACATTATTAATTTGTTTATTTTTTTTAATATAATGAAAAAACTTTAAGAATTCATTCCATAAGCGATAATCGCTTCTTCTGGAACAATTTATGTCTCATTCTATCTTTGAAAAAAATTAGTTATCCAATACCGTTATAAAATGGTATACACTATACTAACAATCATGTAGTTTACTGCTCTAGGTTTAAACCTTAAAATATTACAGTTGAATTAGGAAAATTCAATCACTAGATGGTATATGAAGCCTCTAAAGTGTGATCGATTAATTTTAAATGAACATTTGAGTAGCTTTAAAAAAAGAAATCGTATGGTGCATTTTCGTATTGTTGCTTACTGTACCTATACGTGGGTTTAAATCTAAGTTTAATGTGGCTGATTCTGAATGCGACTTTCATTGTTATCGTGCGGAGAATTTTTCTCTCCAAATCTATGAATACTTTTTCTAGGGATCTAGATAGTGTCCATATATTTGTAGCTGATCACATATATAGATTTAAAGGCAATCTGAATGAAAATATATACTAGAGAAAATAAATTCACGACGTAATGATGCATAGAAATAAAATGGCGAATGATAATCAATATCTGAAATATCATCTGACATTGATAGAACATAATTGAAATCAACGAAGGAAGGAAAACAGCGATTAATTCTAGTTTTGGTGGGCTGAGGAAGACTGATTGGAAAATCGAAGGTCGCTATATTAATTACCGCCGAGGATATCCCTTCGTCAATCTTCCAACAACCATTCTAGTTTTTATTGGCCACGCCCACCACTCCCCTCCATTACAGGCTTACAGGATTTTCCAACACAAGACAATGGCAATGGGAAACTGATGGGGTTGTGGCTAATGATTGGATTTTGGTTTATTTCATTACATTTTGAAATATATTTATTCGAATTTTTTTTTGTAATCCAGCGAATGAGATTAGGTAGGTACTATTATTATATGGTAACAAAGATTAGTTTTTGCAATTGATAATATTCTGATCGTTGTCAAGATCACAAGAGGTCGTTGATTAGAAAACTATATTCTGATTTATACAATCGAATGTATACCCACGGTCATAGATATTGCATGATCCAGTAAGAATTTTATAAAATTCCATTTTTTAAGTAGCTGGCTCTCTGCAAAATATGTGGATATTTCTTTGCAACTTTTGAAAAGATATTCTAGAAACAATCACATTTTTAGCCTTTGGTCTGTCTGTCCGTGCCAAGATTTTTTCGGAAACTACTGAACCGATTTTGTTGCTTCCTTTTTTATTTTGTAGGGTTTTGACTACTGATGCTTGTGACAGAAATTGGGTGCTCAATGCGTAATAGATTAAAAACATGTTCTTCTATAGGCTGTAGCGCGAATACGACTCTAACAATTTTGATGAAACTTTCCTATAATGTTCTAATAATTGTTCTTTCAATTTTCATACATAGACTAAAGAATCCCAAAAAAATTCAGGAAAAAAGTTATAAAGAAAAGAAAAATGTTTTGTGTCCTCACTCGCTAAGTATAGATTCTATTGTGAAATCTATAATGAAACTTTTGAAAAGTAATTAAATTACCAACCAACCAAAAAAAAATCTTCCGAATCGAACTAGTATTAGCGATGATACAGCTTATTATGTTTTCTACACATGTTTTAATTTATTACTTTCCTACC